CTGGGTGACAGATTGGACAAATACATTAATTTCCCTTCCTGTCTATGATGTCTTTTCCTCCACCTTGCACACGTTCTCTTGTCTTTTTTGATAATAATGTTTTTCTTGGCAATTCCATAAGTATTTAATCCTGTTTGTGTATCTGAGCATATGTATGAAAGTTCCTGGAATACCAGTTTTAAGCCAGGATGCTGCTGGCCCATGTCAGACACGGACAAATGATCTGTTCCCAAGGGGAAAGCAAATGAGGTACCAGAGGAAGATGAGCATGAAGGTCACATCTGAGAGACCTTCTCTCCCCGCTCCCACTGCCCACACCAGCCTGTGCCAGGGCCTCTGGGTGCTGGAGAAGCAGCTTCTTCTTTAGGAAACCACCTCTCTGAGAGAGTGTCTTCCCTCAGCACCCCTGGATTATCCCAGCTGGGTGTGGAGAGGAGCAAAGCTGTGGCGCAATCAGCAACATCTTTAAGAAGTCCTTCTAAGAACAGAAATCAGGTAAAGGAGGTAAATAATTTCATAGCCCATCCTCTCCATAATACACTCACAACCCCTCTTTCTGCATCTTGCCAAGGGCCAAATAATTTGTTGTCTGTGAAAGGCAGGGAAGAGCTGCTGCCTGTCTGTGGTCACCACCCCTGTCCTGCCCATGCCAGCACTGAACCTTCAGGGCAGCAGGTTCTGTCCTCTGCTGGCTTTGCTGTCCCAGAGGATGGTTGTTGGCCACTGATGCTGGGAAATGAGCTGAACCTCGTGGCACCCCCCAGAATGGAAACAAAGGCTTGTCTTTAAGTGTCACTCCTCACTCTCCTGAGGTCATTGAAGTGTCACCCCCCTCCTGCCAGATGCTTGCAAGTCATTTACAGAAATACAACTTTCAGGGTCACTGTTCCCCCACATCATGAGAATTCCCATGTTGTCCAAGGGAGACCTGATTATTATCATTCTCTGACTAATCAGCAGATCTCTGAAAGCCTCTGGTTGTTCAGAGAACCCTGAACATTTCCAGGCTGGACCAGTTCATCTCCACAGTTTGCTGTTAGAAACAGCAAAGATGTCACTTGTCTTAAAATATATGGTCTGCTGTTCCCTTCCTAAAGGTGCTGTTATGCCAAACAATAAATCTGCAAAGAGACTGCAGGCAGAGAGTGGGATGGGATGTATTCAATATTCATCACTCTGTGACCCAAAGGAGGATCAGGACACTTCACATCAGGAAATTTCTCTCTCCAATTTAGCAGTTTCAAAAGCATGGCCCAAAATACAACCCCAGAGGCTGCAGTTGCACCTTGAATTGATTTTAAGGCAATAAGCCCAAAGGACTGTGTAAAAACACTGCCTTATTTCCAGAATGCAGGTCAGACTGGCTGGCTGGGCTTTGAATATTTATATTGTCTGTAGCTAATTTTAAGGGCCTGGTGGCATTTGCTGACATTTTCCTTTTTCCTTATCTTTAACCCTAGAAAACCCATTTGCTTCCTTGATGGGGTCAGGACCCTCAGCAGTGCAAAGGACAGTTGCAAAGGCCACCTCTCTGTGCAGGTGTTTATTTGAAGCCACCAGGAACCAGGTCAAAGAGGTGTCATTTCCCTGTGGGAATGGGAGGGGCACAGAAAATTGGGATAAGCTGTCCAGGAGGAAAACGAACTGCAGAAATAATAAGGTAACTCCTCCTCTTCCTGAGCAGTAAAAAACCCTGGAGATTTGGAGGAAGGAAGCAGGGAAGCTCAGATATTCACAGTGAAGGTGATGTAAATTGGGATTTTACACATCCTGATGAGTAGGGAGCTACCAACGGACCTGTTTGTTACCCCAGTACCTGGAAAAATCAAGCAGTGCCTGTGTCTCTTATCTAATCTCTGCAAAACTTGTATTTCTCCCGCATTCCTAAGTTGGGTGATTGAAAAGGGTGAAAAAATGGCTTTTGCAATGTATTTATGATCATATTATTCCCTGCATTCCAGCATTGAACAGAATCCATAAACCCTCATTGACAGAGGAGAGAATGGAGGGACCAGAGAGGCAGAGATGAGGTGATGTTAGTGCAGCCTGGTGGAGAACCAGCCCTGGAACCCACACCCAAATAACAGTCTGAGGGGCAGCTGAGGGATGCTTAAGACAGCAATAAAATATTAAAACTTAAAATAAAATCTTCCTCTCAATATGATATTGTTGGCAACCCACCTTGCACAGCAGCAGGAGCCAGGAGCAGCCATAGGAGGAAAACTCAAGGCAGTTTTGGTGTGAAGAGACAATTATTTGATTTTATTCAGCACTTTGGACAGGTCTGTTCATCCCAACTTCTCAAAATCCTGCCTAGATCTTTAATCCAGAAAGTGAGTGCTCTTTCTTAACATATTGCTATCAAACAATGTTTAAATTTCAGCAACAGCATCAGGAGCTGGTTTTCATATGTACCCAAAGCAAGTACACAGGATTTAAAGTAATGATCTCTGAGTTTATCTTCATCAGCCTTCTTGCCTCTGGTGTTGTGCTTAGATCAGATTATCTCATTTAAATAGCAATGGGTTATGGAAATAAAAAAAGTCTAATCTGTTCCCTCACTGTGTCACTGTGAATGTTTTACTCTATTTTATTTTGTCCCCTAAGGCACTTGCAAGAAAACCCCAAAGACCCTCGTTGAGTCACATAAAAAAGCTCTGCTGGAAAATAAGGGTTGGAGGGAATATTACTCTTTCCATGTAAAGAGAATAGAGAGGGTAGTTTGATTTCTGAGTGATTGAATTACCATTTTGGGGGGTAATAATACCCAGCTCTGCCTGTACAGGACGTTTAATCCTTAGATTTAAAATTAATTCATAGGTCAAAACCGTTTTCATTCTACATGTCTGGTAGAATTGAGACAGGAACAAGAAAGAAATGACTGACCAATGTCATTTAACAACCTGAATTACCTTTCAAAGCCCAGCCCACAGAGCTGCTCTGCTCAGCATCGAGACTAGTTCCTAATTTTCCCACTCAGTGCTGTTACTCCTAAATTGATGTGAACCATCCATGTAATAAATCAAAGAAGTTTTGCCCATAACTGCAGTTTGACTGTTGCCATCAAACATATTTCAGGATGTCATGTAGTGAAAACCAGCAGAGCTCCACTGAAATCAATGGAGTTAATTTATACCCAGGTATAAATTAACTTATCTCACTGAAGTCACTGGGAGAGTTTGCTGTTCCTTTAATTGGCAGCAAGATCAGGACAAAAGGGCCGTTGTGATCTGCCCCTGGTGCCTGGGAATGTGGAATATTTAATTTTTTAATCTATTTTTAAGCCTTCAAAAAACCTGAACGTGTGGCTGTAAAAGTGAGCTCCCGGGATCTTTTAACACAGCTGACCCAGGACACCGGGCTGGTTAAAAGATGATCCTTTAGCAAGAGTGATGAAGATGACAAAAAGTTTGAAAAATGAAAGGTTTGTGGGAAAAAAAAAAAAGCTGAAGGAACAGGCTACATTCAGAGCTACAAAACATGGGTATAAAAATATCTTGTCTATCACTGGGCTGTGCTGCTCCTCCAGTGATTCATATTCCAGGATCACCATGGATTTCACAACCTAAAGCAATCAAAAAATTATGGGGGAATTCTTGTACCCTAAAAGATTGGTAAATAAAAGAGAACATTGGGGCACTAAACAGGTGTTTGTTGTGTTTAGTTCAGCAAATCTGGGCTTCAACGAGCCACTGCTTGCTTGAAATATTTTATATATTACAATAATTTAATATGAAGTCCTTACCACGTTGGTTGTTTGTTACTGAAATGGGCATTTAGTATTGATTTAATAGAAAGTGTGATCCTGAGATTTACATTTTTTATCCTGAGATTTACATTCCACATGGAGACAAAATGGCATCGAGTTTAATTTAAATTGTGTTTTAATATACTACTGAAGTCTGCACTCTGCTCTGCTTCTTCATTTCAAACAGCTGCTGACTCATGCACTACATAATTAATTTAAGTATCATTCGAGGTCACTTTAATACAATTTCCTCGTAAGTACATGAGTAATATCCTGGCTATTTAGAGTTCAATACATTAATTGTAGACAAAAGTCAGTTGTCATGGTTTCTATCACAGCCAAGTGTGAGGGGTCAGTTCATCCCCAAATTCATTATAACCTCAAAGAGTTCAGTTCCCATTCTGTGCCTGTTTTCAGATGGCTCTGTAATGAGTCACATGAGTTAATCCCATTTAGATGGTTTTATGAAGCAGGATTGTCAAGTTATATGCTTTAATTGTCAAGTTATATGCTTTAATTAGAAGGAAGGTTCAAAAAAAAGGAATGAACTCAGAATACCAAACCCTCAGTGTGAGCAATGCCCAGGCAGGCAGAAAAGAACATTTTACCTCACAATATGTTACCAACTGTTGATATTTTAATTAAGCACAGGGGATATTGAAGGAGGAGAAGGCGGGAGCACAGTCCTGCTTCCTGCAGCCACCCTTTGTCCTCTGAATCCAACCTGAGCACTGCCAGGGTGCCCAGCACTTGGATCAGGGGCAGGGTGGGTTCATGAGGGTCTGTCATCACACCAACAGGAGGCAAAGAAAGCACCTTTACGTTTACTTTGGGCATTCAGCAAGATTTTCTTTCATTTTTGGGTATTTATATTCTGATTGTCCTCATTCAACGCTCCCAAACTGGGCTGGTTTTCCTTCCAGCTCCATTTGCTGGCCTGGGGGTTGGTGATGCTGTGGCCAAGAAAGGTCTCTCATGGATGTTGTTACCCAAGTAAACAGTTGTATTTTAGACCATTTTTGAAAGCTTTTGCCTGGATTTCACCTTTCTTATGATCTTGAAATGTGTTTTCCTGGTTCAAAGGCAGAACCACGGGTTGCTTAAAATTAAAGCATGTCCTAATAAAAGCTCCTTAGTCACCCATTCATACAAATAAGTCCTGTTAGTTTTGGTAATTGCTTCTCCTTCCTTGAAGAATTATGACACTGATATAGATTTATCAATCACAAACACTAATAGTGGAACATTTTACCTGTGCTGCAGCTCATGAATGGCAGCAGACTTATTAGTTTCCATAGCAACACCATCTCCACTTTCCAAGGTCAAAAATTCCTCCCATCCAATCAGTGGAAGAAAGTAAAGTGTGTCTTCCTGTGACTACCTTGATATTCTGCAAAAACAGGAAGAGATATTGGGTAATTAAAGTACAGATTCCAAACAAATACCCCAATTTCCCCTGTGTAAAATCATGTTCTACTGCATTATTTGAAGACTCAGACCCTAAAAATGCAATAAATAGTCTAGATGGGATCATCTCAGCATAAAAATAAATCCAGAATGACACCAAGGTGGTGATGAGATGAGTGAAAATCAGGATATGTTGGAGTTTCATCCACCCCTTCCATGTGGGACAGAGATTCCTTGCATATAGGAGGGAGTTTCTCCAAGCAGGAAAACAAAATGTTAATGTGGTTCCTCCGCCAGACATTGCTGGAGTAGAAAAAAAAAGTGTTTGCAAAAAATGGGCTTTTCTCAACTCCTAAATGCTCATCACACTTTGTAATGTTTCTTGTCCCATCTCAGGGCTGGAGCAGCTCTGCTCTGGAGACAGGCTGGGAGGGCTGGGGGTGAGAGGAGAAGGCTCCAGTGAGACCTTGGAGCCCCTTCCAGTGCCTCAAGGGGCTCCAGGAGAGCTGGAGAGGGACTTTGGATGGACAGGACAAGGGGGAATGGTCTTAAGCTGAAGGATGGTAGATTTAGGTGGGATATTGGGAAGGAATCCTTCCCTGGGAGGGTGGTGAGGCCCTGGCACAGGTTGCCCAGAGAAGCTGTGGCTGCCCCTGGATCCCTGGAAGTGTCCAAGGCCAGGTTGGATGGGGCTTGGAGCAACCTGGGCTAGTGGAAGGTGTCCCTGCCCAGGGCAGGGGGTGGAACGAATGGGCTTTAAGATCCCTTCCAACCCTGTGATTCCATAATTCCGTAGTGGTCCTGCTTCTGATCCCAGCAATGATCCTTTGGTGAATTTATTGTGACCTGAGCAGACACTGATGCAAAATGTGATCTCACCTGGGAGCAGAAGGTTACACAAGTGATTTGTGCACTGTGTAAAAACCACACCTTTTCTGGGCTAAGCTTCACTATTCAGCAATGAAACATTCATTCCCCCGTAAGGATTTACGTAACAATTTCATTTAATTTCCTTTGACATTTCAGTCAACATATGATGAATTAAGCCAAGAAAAAGGATCTGTTTGGCCTGTACTCCCAAAGGGCAAACGACTAATTTACTGTTGGGAATCAGTTCATAAAGCAGCTGCAACCAGAAATCACTTCATCAAATGAGTTTACAAAATTGTGAAATCATTCCAAACCTTTTAAGTGCTGAAAATTTTCCACTGAGAAATTACATTTATGATCCACTTTCACAGGTCCATATTCTCTTCTCACTTGTCTCATTTTTCATACCAGTGTGAGAAGATATCATATAGGATTATCCTGAAACTTATTGCTGATACGAGTGAGGGAGACATTTTTTAGAAAATTAAGGAATTCAACTCTTTTGAAAGTCATCCCACTTCTATAAGGGATTTAATTTTGTTCATATTTTTTATAAACTTCCCTTAAAAATTTCAGGGGGTCTCAGAGGAAACACTTTTAGACCTGGGGCACCACTGTAAGTGACCATTTCAGGGGGAGAAGCTTGACAAGCTTCTACGTTTTGAAAAAGGGATTGAAAAACCAGTTTCTTTCAGCCTTTTGTGATGTCCTACTTCACACACATCTGGGGGCTTCTGAAGCACATTTGCATCATTTATAAGTGTTTGAAAGGAAAAGTATTTTAAAAGTGCTAAATTATAATTCTTGCAAAGTAGAAAGAGAGAACACAGAGCTGGGTGGTACCTTTAGACATCATCCCTGCCCCAAGCAAAAGGAACTGCACTTAAAATACCCTCAATAAATATTTACTGTCTTTTTAATACTTTTTTTGGTGTCTTTCTTTAATACTTGCATTCAGTTCAGGTTCCACTCTAACCCCTTCTTTAAACCACCTGTCGATACTGAAGGTGGACATTGATTATTTCTACTTAAGTGTAAAACCTTGTGCTTTTCCTCATTGAATCCCATCATATTTATTTCACAGCCTTTCTCTTGCTTGTCAATATTTGTCTTGAAGCTGCTGTGCACATCTCTGATATTTAAGACAACAAAAACCACTTTACCTTTTTTCCCCTTGTCCTTCCTAAAGAGAACGTGTCCCTTCAGAGCAAAATGCAAGAATTCTAATTATCTACTTAGATATCACGTTAATTTATCTTATATTAATTACTTTTTGTGACTTTCCTTGTGTCACGATTTCACCTTTTTTTCTAACTATAGGTCGGCAGGAGTGAAAAGATTCCTCAAACCACCAGGACCTGTGTGTCCTGCAGCACCGCGGGATGAGGAGGCTCAAATTGCCCATTTACTGACAAACCCTTTGTTTGCTGTTAGCAGATAACAACCAGAATTTGTCTGCAATTTATCCTCTATTGCTGCAGTTGTTGCAGAGAATTTTGCACATCCCCACGTGTTTCCTTGGCCTTCCTATTTCAGTTCACCTCCTGTGCTTGCTGTTTTTCTGTGGTTGTTTTCCTTGCCATGGACAGAGACATTTCCCTGTGCTGCCCAAGCTGGTGCCACCCAACTCCTTTCCCTCAAGATCTCTAAAACTAATCCTGTTTCTGCTTAAGCCACATTTGTTCTATGAATTATTTTGTGCAGGTCACCTGAAATCCTTTTTAAGAGTTGCCAAAGAAAATTATGGCTCAAAGGAAATGATTTCCACCCTCCAGGCTTACTCATGTACTTCCTGAGGGGAATATTCTCAACAACAAAAAATAACCAATAAAAGCCAATTAACTGACCATATCCAGTATTTTCCAAGATATTTGTACTCTCTTACAGGGACAGATCCTTCTGAAAACCTCCCTGTTTTCTATTCTCCTCCTGCTGAGTTATAGATGAGTCTTTTGAAACCAAGAAGCTTCTGCCAATATTTAGAATATATAACTCAAATTCTTTGTATTCATGCAAGGTATTGATCAATCCTCAGAACTGTGATTCTCCTGCTTCTAGGACTGCAAATTATGGGGCATTACTGTAAATATATATATATATGTACACACACATATTTCCTTTCAGTTACCCAACTGTTTTACTCCTTTCCCTCTGACAAACACAAGGACCTAACTGGCAAGCAGGCACTTAATAATTTTTACAATGTCTTTCCAACAGCAGCTTCCATGGGATTATTTACTGTCAAACTAAATCAAGAATAAATGAAAAAACTGAAATATTTATAGCAGAAGAAAAATCTGGTTCAGACCAGAAATCCCAGCCTGGCACTAAATCAAGAAATGTAACAAGATTCTGCCACTGTACCCTTTGTTTTCTGGACGTGCTGCTATCACTTATTTTAATTGTTATGCCACAGTTTGAGCAGAAAGATGGATGGAAAACAAAATATGTTAAATATGATAATGGGAGAAACATTACATTTTCCCCTAATAATACTGATTACATGTCCATTTGTCCCCAGGATGTAATTTATACAAATATGTTTGTTACAGGAGCAGTCAACATCACTTTTTGTTGCTTTCCCATTAGAGAAAATGAGTCCATAGGAAAGAACTCAATCCTCAGATACTTTATACCTGTTATTTTTCCTTCTTATCTGTGGGGGAAGGAAAGATTTCTGTTCCTGAGACACCCAGATGTGACATGTGGGACATCCAGGGGTGTGTAAGAGATGAATTGATGGAAGGAAGGTGGATGAAACCCAGCACTGAGGGGTTGTGCAGCATCTGCTTCTCATTGCAAACACTCTGGGTCATATGATTGGAAAGAAAGCACACAAAAGTATTCCTTTTATCAAAACATTTCTTTTCTGGATAGCTGGAATATTGAAAAATTCAGCCTAAACATGGGATTTGAGTAGTGCATTGACTTAGTGATGTTGCACTCAGCCCAGAGAGGGAAAGGCTTTCTTTTGTGGCTGAACTTGAAGTTGTATTGCTGCTTCCTTGGCACTAGAATTTAGAAGGAGATATGTTATGGATTCATTTATTCATTAAAATGATCTGACATCTCTTTAGTGCATTAACATAAGTGCCAATACTTCGTTCTTCACTGAGCTGAGGCTCAACCTGCTGCCGAGGCTTTGGCTTTCCAGACTTCTACTCTCTCCAATTGCTTATTTTTTGAGTGACAAAACACTTGTAAGATCAAATCTGTGACAAAGGACAAAATGCTCTTGTGGTGTCACCTGAGTGTTTGTGAAAATAGGCCCCATTTCACATTTCTGCCATGACTGTGTTGGTTTTGTTGGTTCAGGTGCTGATCCGACATCATGCTGGGGTAAAACTTGTCAGGCACTGGAATGATGAGATTTTGCTCTTGGGCAAATTGAAGGAAATGGACATTTTTACCCATGGCAAAATGCAGCTGTGTTTGCAGAAATAGCAACTTTCTGACCTGGTGAAAGGAACAATGTTTAACCAAAGGGATTTGGGGCTGAATCCCACAGAGATGCTGCTGGTGGAGCTTCACTCCAGGGCTGGTATATTGGTGTAGCCACCTATAGAATAAGTTCTGTTGAATGTATGTAGAAGGAAAGGAATAAAAATGTGAAGAGAAGAGGCTAAAATCCAGGGAGTGCATGCACAGCCTTTTTTTCTGCAGCCTCAGCTTTCCCTCCCACCAGCTTCCACACATCTATATTATCTTTTGAATTTGGCCTTACATACTTTTGTATTCTTCATCTGCCAGGAAATAAGCCAAGTCTGTCCCAGCCAGGCTTGAATTCTTGGCACACCATTGCTCCTGATCTCTATATTGTCTCCTGAGCACCTGATTTGAAGGCATCTAATGTGAATTTTCTCATGAATGCCAATGATATACAGCTACATTTTTCTTTTCAAACTTTTTATCCCTGAGGCACTTCCTGCACTCAGACTATTTTCCAGATCTCCGTAACAGACTGAATAGCAAACACTTGCAACTACCAGAGCAGAAGCAGAAGAGACCAGTTTTCCAGGCTGCAGCAAGATTTACTTATGCTGCTGCAGTACTTAGTGCTTATTTAGAATTATTGAACCATATTTCGAGGGAGAAAAGCACCCCCTGTTATTT